CGGACCACGGTACAAGAGAACTACGCGAGATCTTCAAAGGTCCGTCCCTCTTCCTCCCCTTCCTCGTCCCACATGCTAACAACTCTCCCCCAGTCGCCGCCCACCGCGCCGACCAAGTCTTCCTCCCCGTCCTCGAAAACGCCGTCAAAGCCTCCAAACTCCGCTCCACCCTCGCCGTCTTTGAAAAATCCAAATTCCTCTTCACCCTCCCCGGCCAACTCTTGACCTCCATCCAAGCCAAACAATACGACCAGGCCCTGCGCGATTACAAGAAAGGTCTGTATTTGCATGAATCGAGGAGCGGGGGAGGGGGCGGGGTTATACCGGGGGTGAATGCCAGCAGGGAGCAGCAGAAGAGGGTGTTTGAGAAGGTTTGGGGGAGTGTGGAGGGGATTATGGGGGAGATGAGGAATAAGCTGGATGCTCAACTCAAGGATGTGACGAGGGGGGTGGAAGAACAGGAACGGACAATCGAGTGGGTCTTTCCATGCGCCTTTAAAGAAGAGCAGAGGCTTACAGTGTGAAGGATCTTGATCGAGCTGGATCAGAGCGATGAAGCGGCGTGGACGTATCTCGAGTACCAACATGCGCATATCCTTCGGTCCATGAAGGCCATCTTTAACAAACACCAGGAGAAAGCTCGAGGTGAGGGTGCATTCTATTGTACGCGTATCATGCTGATGAGAGTATAGCCACGGAACGCGCTTGTGCGAACCAGATTATTACTCCTGGTGCATACCTGGAGCTCTTGAGGCGACAGCTCGCTACGCCCGAGTACCAACCCGATCCCTTATCACGTGCGTCTCATCTCCCACCACCTCGAACAAAGCTGACAATATCTCAAAGCAACCCCCACAGACACCGCCTGGCTCGCCATCCACCACCTCACCAAAGACCTCTCCTCTCACGTCTCCAAATCCTTCTCCGCCTTCTGGCGTATCGGCAAATCCTGCATCCAAGGCCGCTACTCCAAACGCGAATCCTCCGGCGGCGGCAGCACCATCCCCCCGACGAACCGACCGGCGTCGGTGTGTAGGACGATGGCGTTGGAGATTATGAAGTTGTATGTGGGGTTAGTGTCGGGTTTTTTCAGGTTGTCGGATGGGGGGGTGGCGGAGAGTGGGTTTGCGAATGCTTCCGCCGCTAGAGCTCGAGCGGGAGATGGGCTGCCGCCGGCGTCCCCGTCGACGGGGTGGGTGCCGCAAGGAAGTACGTCTGTGCTAGTGGGGTACTTTGCCGAGAAGCTGGTGGACGAAATCGCCGACTGCGCCGGCGAGCTCGGGGCTTATGACGTGGGGAATAATGAAGAAAGCTTGATGAAAGGCCTGGTGGATAGTATGAAATGGAAGATGGAGGAAGTCCTCGCCACCTCTTGGGCTAAAGACGCCAAGCTCCTGCACGGGCTCGAAGACTGGTCCTCTCCGTCTGTCTGTTCCAACAAGGGCTCGATCAGGTATTTGGCGGTGGTGGAGAGTTATCAACTGAGGATGACGACCGCGGCAAAGAGGGTGGCGGCGAATACGCGGAATGGCGGTGGGCGGGATGAGAAGGAGGGGTTGGGGGGAGGGTTCAAGAGGCGGATAAGGGAGGTGGTGGTGGAGACGGAGTGTTATTGCTTTGATGGGATCTTGAAGGCGGCGGGGGATGAGTGGAAGAATGAGGTTGAGGGGAGAAGGGTGAAGAGAGGGTCGAGGGTTGAGGAGCTTGATATCAGTTTGGTGAGTCTGCGCAAGACTGGAAAGGGCAAGAGCTGATGAGATGTAGGAAACGCGTCTGCTGATCTCGCTCTCCAAATTCCACCACCTCAAACAAACGTCCATCCCTGCCATCTCCTCAAAGGTTTCCAAACTCTTAGACGTCGATATGGCCAAAGAGCAAAGTCTGCTCTTGCAGGTGGTGGGTGGGATGGACGAGCAGGTGCTGAAAAAGTATATCGGCGAGAGGGCCGAGGTGCAGAACAAGATTGTGAGGGAAGCCGTACTGGAAGGGACTGATTGGGTCAATGTGGGCAAGCCTACTGGTGCGTTCGTGATCATACGTCAAGGACAGAGCTGATATGCGTGCAGAGATCCGCCCTTATATGCACAAGGTTATTCTGCTGCTAGTCGACACCCACGCGCAAGTCAGCAATATCGCCCCTGCCAGGCTGGCGCAAGTGTTGCAAGCGTTGGTGGAAAATGTGACGCAGGTCGTCTTGGGCTGTTTTCAACGTATACGGCAGTATGGTCTTGGCGGTATGCTTACTGTACGTGCATCTCGCTTCTTGTCTATACAAGGCTGACGCCGGCTAAAGGCGACGGTCGAGATTGAATATTTCCATTCTGCCGTATCTCTCTATATCACGCCACAAGCCAACGAAACGCTTACAAAGATATACGATACCATCGGCTCGGTATACGGGCGGCAGCAGAGCCCGGATGATTTGAATAAAGAGCTGGATGGGCTGAGGAGGCTGTTGGCGGCGAGTCGGAAGGCGATGGGGATGGAGACGCTTTGTTTGCGGGCTGTCAAAGAGGGATGAGTGATGTCAGTGATTTCTAAGCGGGGATATGCGCGAGGTGGGCGCCAGCGGATGGCGAGTGTACTGTGACCTGTGTATGCATGTAGCTTACTCGTAGCTTGAGATACAGCAGACGCGCGAAGCGAGATGCTTGGTGGCAGGCGCTGCTCGCCGCCCTGGACGGATGGCCGAGATGTGTATACGCGCTGTTAGTCGCATCGCTCTTCCTTTGATGCAGTGGCTCTCCCGGTCGGGTGGCTCGTGGCTGCTCGTCTCATTTCTCGTTTACATCTCCACAACATATATAGCCATCATGCTCGCACACTTCTCCACCACCACCCGCCGCACTTTCGCCTACTTTCCCACCCACCAACAACGCAAACTCATCATGCGCTCCATCTCACCCTCTGCCGGAGCTGCCTCCGCCTCTACCCGCGCTCTCTCCACCCGCACCCAGAAGGTGCTGGCTGCCCTCGACCTCCCCACTGACGCGTCTACCGTACTCCCCGGTGTCTTTGACGGCGAGTGGAAGGGCTCTGGCGAAGAGCTCGTGTCCAGGTGCCCCGCTACTGGCGAAGTCCTCGCCAGGATCCAAGGTGTAAGTGCTCCTCATCCATACTCGACTCGACCAACATTCCACAGGCAAGCGTCGAAGAGACCCAGGCCGCTATCAAGGCCTCCAAAGCCGCCTTCCTCAAGATCCGCTCCCTCCCCGCACCCAAGCGCGGTGATATCATCCGCGATATCCGCGCGGCCCTCGACTCCAAGGTCAATGAGCTCGGCGACTTGGTGTCTTTGGAGATGGGCAAGATTAGGAGTGAGGGTAAGGGAGAGGTGCAGGAGTTTATCGATATCTGCGATTTGGCCACTGGCTTGTCGAGGAGTTTGAAGGGGAATGTGTTGCCTAGTGAGAGGCCAGAGCACGTCATCTATGAGAGTGAGTCGGGTTTGGGATGTAATTAGCTTTGCTGATGTGGGATAGTCCCCAACCCCCTTGGTGTCGTTGGTATCTTGTCTGCTTTCAATTTTCCTGTGAGTGTCTGGGGACCGCCTAAATATACCATTGCTGACGTACTATAGGTGGCCGTCTACGTGAGTTTGCTGACAGCGCCTTCAAGTCTGTACTGACCAGTCATCTTCTAGGGATGGAACCTGTCTATCGCGCTCGCCACAGGAAACTCTACCATCTGGAAGCCCGCCCCCTCCACCCCCCTCATCTCCATCGCCGTCACCAAGCTCCTCGCACCCGTCTTTGCCAAATACGACCTTCCCGGATCTGTCGCCGCTCTCGTCTGCGGTGGCGTTGATGTCGGCAAGACTATCGTCGGCAGCGAGGACATTCCTCTTGGTAAGCACCCTCCCACTTGACATTGAGCAGAGTTAACGAGACATAGTGAGCTTTACTGGAAGTGAAAAGGTCGGCAAGGAAGTTGGCAAGGTCGTCAGCGACAGGTTTGGAAAGTCCATCCTCGAGCTTGGTGGCAACAACGGTACGTCTCTCCTCTCTCCTCTCCCTTTCTCCTTTTCCTCACTGACACTCACCTAGCTGTGATTGTCGACAAAGACGCCGACCTCGCCCTCGCCCTCCAATCCGTCCTCTTCGCCGCCGTCGGTACCGCCGGCCAACGATGCACCTCCACCCGCCGCCTCCTCCTCCACAAAGACATCTCCGCCGAGTTCCTCTCCAAGTTCCTCCCCGTCTATGACGCTGCGGCCCCCGCTTCGCACTTGCAGGTCGGCCACCCGCTCGACGAGGGGGTGTTGATCGGCCCGCTGCATAATGAAGCCGCTGTGAAGAGGTATGAAGACACGATTGAGGCTGTTACTTCGAGGGGCGGTGAGATCTTGACGAAACGTTCCGGCCGGATCCCTGCCTCTTCTCTCAACAACGACGAGCTCTCTGGCGGACACTACGTCTACCCCACCGTCATCAGACCCGCCAAAAACGACCCCTGCTGGGCCGAAGAAGTATTCGCGCCCATCCTCTACGTCACTGAATTCTCGTCCCTCTCCGAAGCTATCGAGCTCAACAACTCGGTACCGCAGGGACTGTCGTCGTCGCTGTTTACGACGGATCTGAAGAGTATGGGACGGTGGTTGGGGCCGGAGGGAAGTGATTGTGGGATTGTGAATGTTAATGTGGGGACTAGTGGGGCGGAGATTGGCGCAGGGTTTGGGGGGAACAAGTCTACCGTGAGTTCTGCTTCTTGCTCTTCTCCTCTTCTTCTTATATTTCTTGGTGGGATACGGGCTGACGTAGAAATAGGGATGGGGCAGGGAATCCGGAGGTGATGCGTGGAAGCAGTATGTCAGGTGGTCGGCTGCGACGGTCAACTATTCTAGCAAGGTGGCGCTCGCGCAGGGTGTCAGCTTTGGGGTGAGCGCGTAAAGGAGTGTTTTGGTATTTCTGTATGATTTGGTTTCCTTGTTTGCATTATGCATTTGGATCTTGTTGATCTCGTGTGATATCTTTTTGTACATGACACAAACAGTATACACACCTGACTACTTTCAACGACCATTTGACTATCTCTTGTTTGCCTGCGCCAGCTTGTCGTTAATAGCCTCCTCATACCCCCGATGATTACGCAGCCTATAATTCCTCGGCGCATCACTCCGATTCGAAGGAAAAAGCGTCTCGGGCGTCACCCACTCACAATGCACCGGCAATCCATCCACCTCAACTACATCCGAAATCTCTTTTGCAAACTTCAAACTGTCCAGATAGACCGAATGTTCGGATACATGGTTGAAGTCGTGATAGACCGCAAAGCTGCTTTTGGAAGAGAGACCGGAAGAGAGGGCGTTGGAACTGCCGTTTTCGGTCCGGGGTTTACGGTTGGTTTCGTCTGTCCACTCGGCGAGGGCGTTGGCGATTTGACGTTTGGCGGACGAGTCGAGGTTACCCGCTGCACCCAAAACCTCAAACTGCGGATCAACAGGTACCCATCGTCCAGTGATATTACTCTGCACCAAATCAGTCGGCTCCTTTATCCCCGTCGTAAACAGCGCCCAAGGATACTTGTCCCCCAGATCAGCAAGCCTAGTGCAAGCTTTGTAACTGTGGAACTGCCGGGCGAGCTTGTCATGGTATTGCTCGTCGGTGAGGACGTCGGAAAAGTCTTTGGTGGAGACTTCGAGATGTCTGCTTTTGAGTCCGTGTTTGAGAAAGTCTTGGAAGGGGACTTGCTGGTATGTGAAGAGATTCAGTGTCCGGCTTGGCATTTCGTCGTATGCTTGTTCTGCCGCTTTACGTTGGAGACTCGCATGTTCCTCCCGACAAGCTTCATCCGCTTCGATATACCCTTCAGGTGTACTACCATCAAACTCATAACTCGTCTCGTCGTAATCCCTTGCCCTCAAAAGAGTATCAAAACGCTTGTTGTAAGAAGCAACAAACCTCGAAGCAGCTTCGATATTCGTCCGGGCAGAGTGTGGGCTGACATGAACCCGGGTGGAGGGCATTAGGATGAAAGAGGCGTCTTTGAGGACGGGGTCGCAGGCGCTCCAGGCGCTGTGGATACGGCTCGTGTGGCCTTTGTCTTCCTCGTCGTTGAAGGTTTTGAGGACGGGGTAGGTACGGAGGGGGGCGTAGGTGGAGAGGAGGACGTGGGCTTTGGAGGGGTCGTGGGTTTGTTGGGAGGAGGTGCTGCTGCTGTGGGGAATATGGAGTGTTCGTTTTGGTTTGAGCTTACTGGGAGGAGGAGGGGAGGGGGGTACGTACCGAGATGACATGTTGTGGACCGGAGGATATGGGGAGGAAGAGAATTGAGTAGGAGGTCTTTATAGATGCAGTTGGGGTGTGTGGCTGTTGGCACACGATCGTACAGCTCCGTGGACCTTCCGACGATGAGACGATTCTTCCAAGTTCCCATAGATTTGTCACACCGCTGGATCAAAGGAGTCCCCATCCATCGCTATGGTCATCTGCTGGATTGATAGATGTAAGCGATGTAGAATGCATACACCGGGTACACAAACATACCTCGTGTGAACGACGAGACTTAGGGGATAGAGGTTTCCAAAACGGAGAAAGGTTGGTGTGCCAAAGGCGTCTTTGGAATCAGCTTGCTTCGGGAGCTGTTCGAAAGGGAAGTGTAAGAAGTGAGTGGTTGGTGCTTTGTTATGAGACAGTAGGGGTGAATCATCAGTACGAGTACCTCGCACTCCCGCCTTCTGTGGAAAGATTTCTGGCTTGCCTCTGGCTTGCCCAAGGCTTGCCTGCCCGCCGCCGGGATAAGTAGCGGGGTAGCCGCCCCCCACGGCCCTGATATTTTGCTTCCGCACGCATGTCCAGCCACTTCCCGGGCATTATGTAATCAACTTCAACAGCTTGCCGCACTGGCTCTAGCGCTATCCCTCTTGCACCACTGTACTGAATTACAGACGACGAGATCCCCACCGCTGTCCGATACAATCCCTATCACCGCGCTGCTTGCCAGCCGCTTGCGTTGTTCATAAAGCTGTCTTCCTGCGATTGTCCTCCGCTCATCTATCCCGACAATGTCTGTAGCCCGAGCCCACTCCATCGACGGTTCTGGCGAGTATGCGGACCAGCTCGGAACAGAGAGGGAGCTCCCTTCTCTGCCCGCCGTAGACACGAGTAAGGAAGCCTGGGCCTATGTCGCAGCGTCTTTTGTCATGGAAATGCTCCTCTGGGGACCCATCTTTGCTTCAGCCGTGTATCTGAAGCATTATGCAGCACTCCCGGTAAGCCAATTTCAACAAACAGGGCTCCAATGATTGACTGGCTGGCAGCAATTTGCTTCTTCATCCGAGACTCAGATTTCTTTCGTCGGAACGCTGCCCATACTCATTGGCTGTGAGAATATGAGCTGCAGAAACGTCCAACGCTGATGGCGGCTTCAGATTCACTCGGTCTTCCTTTGCTCTATTTCTACAATCATTTCCCCCGGGCCATGAAGCCGTCAATCTGGGTCGGTCTAGCACTCTACACGGTATCGATGCTGGCTGCCAGCTTTGTCTCAAACATGAAGCTCTTGATTCTCTTCCAGGGGGTCGGACCAGGTTTGCCGTTGCCTTGCCAAGGGCGTAATATCAAGCTCACGATGATCTAGGTGTCGCTGCTGCTTTGGTAGCTTTCCCCATAATTAGATGGCTTCCCGAGTGAGCGGTGAATGCACGTAGCTGTCCAAAGCTGATGAAACGCAGATGGTTTGACCTGCGTAAAGGGACTGCGGGGGGTATTGTTTTCGCTGGGGGTGGTGTGGGCGGTGTTGTGAGCTGTCTGCCTCGTAAAGAAGAACATTTGACTGACAGGCCCACTTCTCAAAGTATATGCCGTTTCTGGAGGAGGGTCTCATCAATCACTTGGGTTACAATTGGTCTCTGCGAATCACCGCTATACTGACCGCTGTCCTTGGTGTAAATTCATCAAGTCTCTCCAGGCCTTCGCTGATAGGGGTTTCCACAGGGTATCGCCATATTCTTTGTTAACCCGCGAGTTCCCATATCCCCCAGAGCGCACATTGTTCGCATGCCTATGCCGCCATTCTTTGACACTTTCATGCGATGGGGTTTCTTTGGTACCTTTTTCTGTTGTCTTCTGCAAGGTTTTGGTTATTTGTGGGTCGCCAAACAGGCGCGTTTGGACACGGCTGATTTCAATAGCAACGTTGGACTTTTCTTGCCGAGATTCTCAGACTCTCTTGGCGGCGCTGCGGGTACAGGTCTGTTGGCGGCTTTCAACGTCAGTTGTATTGGAGCCCAGCTGATTTGGGGACAGATCACAGACGTAAGTCACGTCACATTGCATTGGTATGGCACTCACCGTATCATGGCAGAAAATGAGACCTGCCCAGGCGATGGCGATCAGCTCTGTGTTGGGCACGATCTTGACCCTGACGTTCTGGGGAATCGGTGGCAGTAAGGGTATCTCTCTGCTGGCCCCTTTTGCGATTCTCTTTGGCCTGGCGACCGGTGGCTTCCCTTCCATGTGGTTCCAAGGTGCACACGACATTGCTGGGCCTGATCAGGGGCGACAGAGTCTATTGTCTGTCGGTATGTACCCCAATCTTCCCTCTGTTGATTCGCCCTGGCTCTAACTTGATTACTAGGTTGGTATGTGGCAAGAGGTGTAGGCGGCATCGTCGGTCCCTCAGTTGGCTCAGCCCTCTACAGGCTCCCGACATCGCCGTCAAACAGATGGGGCTCGGCAGGTTCTCCAGAACTGGTCGGTCTTGTTGCTGCCAGTCTAGCGGCAAGCGCGATCGTCGTGTTGCTATTCAGGTATGCGAGTGATGTGAGCAAATACATCTCCAAACTTGTGGGGAAGGGTAAGGAGGGGGTAAGTGGGGAGGGCCATGGGATGGAGATGGGGGTGGTGACAAGATAGGGGTTGTTGTAACGGAGAGAAGTAGGTGTCATACATACTCTCCGAGCTTCCCCGCTATCAAAATTCATGTACAGTTATCGTATGTCTGATCTTGCGGAAACAGTGCCTTGTTGATACCATCTTGATTGGTCAAATACAGATAAGAAGATAGCCCTCTATGACGTCCTGTGGGTTTAGCAAAGGGCAGTTTGCCGGGATACCTAGCTATCAGTACACTGTAATGAGAGTCAGTGCAGGTCGCAGGCCAAGGGCTTCGAGTTCGATACAGAGAATACAGAGAGGTATTCACTATCGGGAAAACTTTGGGGCAGACCATCTCGGGGTTGACCGAAAGGAAGATCTTATCAGCCTGCGAAATCTCGTGACCCTGCGGGAGGTAGTCACTCTCGTCTACACTTCTCCTCTTCGTTGCTCAACGATGGCCACATGGCTTACCTCGGACCCCCTTTCGTGACTATCCTTACTACATGTAACAGTCGTATCAGCCGAATTTTCTTGGTGACGACAGCATAATCTCACCAACGTATATACTTGTTGCTGGAAAGCAAGATGAGATGTTGTTGTTGTCGCCGGCGGCAACCCAAACGGATTTACGTAACGATGGCGACTGCGGTGCCCTATCAAAGGGCCGCCGGGATTGAGGGACTCCGCCAAAAACGGGCAGGGAAAAAAGCTTTCGGTGGGTCCATCTCCAGCAGCGTATAGATTGCTGTTTACCATTCATCTTCCCATCTCACATACAGACTGGCCCACCCGCTCGCCGGCATCGAACACTGGGCGCTGCGTACCCAGCCCCCGCCACTTCACCACCCCTCGGACCATCAACACCGCCAAGACGCGTCCATCGCGACGCTCCTCCCTTTTCTGCGAAACGATTAGACGCCTCTGGCTTTCAGAAGACCCAACATGTCCAGCCACCAACACTTCCACAACGATACACCCTTCGGCCCCACTGACTTCATACCAGCGTACTTGCTGCCTTATCAGATAAACCAGCAACCCCAGGCTTCTGCTTCTGCTTTCCACTATTTGGCGCCAGAGCTGTTTCAGTCGTCTCCTGCTTCCCATATCGGCACCAGCCAAAGCCAATCTTCGTCAGACGGGCCTGCACCACAGGGCAACTGGGCTTCTCCGTGGGCGAATGAGCAGGATTGGGCGACGGCTTCGAGGTCGTTGATGGCTCAACCGGGTCCAAGCGAAATTGCGCCACAGCATCTGCGTTTGGCAGGGGAGGCTTATGATAACAACCCGCGCGGTAACTCGCGCGATTATGCTGGTACCGACCTTGCAAGCGGGAATTTAAATGAATTCGTTCCTCAGTATTATCTATCAATGCCCCTCGGTGGACCTAGTTTTGGTGACTTGTAAGTCCACCTTTCTCCACTTGCTCAGTTAGCTCACATCACTACCAGCACTGCCCAATACGGGAATTGTCCACCAAACGCAACGTCATCCACTTCTCAGCTACTAGCAAGCACGTTGTCGCCCCTGCAGTCTGCCTCGCTTGGAGCAAGCACCATGCAGTCTGAAGCGAGCAAGGAGCCGTAAGTGCTACCGTCGTCCGTCGCCAGGCTGGGTGCTGATCTATGTTAGCCCCGCGTCCACCGTCGAGTTTGGTAACAAGTATCAACAACTGCTTGCTTCCAAGCTGTTGGATGCTCCGGTATCGCTCCCATCACAAATGACAGCCCCTGCGACATTTGGGCAGTTTTCGCCGCCAGGTACGTTCTGCACTGGTCTTGCTATCATGAAGGCGATATTGACGGACTCTGACTCAGGTCATTCAGATAGCAACAGATACGAGCAGCTCATCGACTTGAAGATGAAGGCTTCGACGATGGAGGCCGCTAGGAGCGATAGCAGAGATACGTCTCGCGAAATGGCACAATTCAGGAAATCGTTGCTCGAAGATGGCTGCGGGATGATGGACAGTGGGTCCGTGCCGACGATGGCCAGGACCAATACCACCTCAGAGAAAAGTCAACAACGAATGTGGGTCCTCTCTATTCCAAACTGGGCTCTGGCTGACTGTGTTGCAGCTACGGCGGTGGGGCACTCCCGCTTGCCAGTAGTCGATCTGAAATATCAATGCTTCAGCCTCTGCCTGATGTTGCCTCTCGCTTGCTCGACTATGCGAATGCGCAACCATGGTCATTCCAGCCCATCGCCTCTCTTGACTCGGAGACTCATCTCGCAGACTATCTCCCCCAACCACTGCACAACAGTCAAGTAAGCCCACTTTCCTTTCATTAATTACGGGTACTGATGATCATGCCCAGACACGCGCAACGGCAGAAGTACTCCAGTCTTATCACAAAGCATTCGGTTTCCCCGGCGGTCATGCCGAAAGTACTGGTCCCTCCTTGGTCGGCTCTACTATAGGCGAGTGGCCTATGACTGCTACGAGTGCGTCGCAGACTCAGACCGTCGACCAAACATCATCATCATCCCGTTCCGACTCTTTCCCCTTTTCCACGCCCAAATTCTTCGCGCCCCAATCTCAAAATAAACCCCTTCACACCCCCAAGGCTATACTCCCCACCACCCGTGCGGACGCGCCCGCCCCAACTCCAGGGAGTCCCAACCCTCCCTTGCTCATCATCCGAGTGCACGAAACCAAGAGCCTCCCTCCAAGCGCTAGCGACTTGCAAGAAGCGAACGTAACGCCCGTCATCAGGATCATCCCCTCCAGGATGGGCCCCGCCAAACCTTCTTCCCCGCGCAAGCTGGGTCAGCCCGCGTATAAGAGCAACATGTTTACCGAAGCGCAGGTCGTTAAGAAGCGCGGCAGGCCTAGGAAGGATGAGGTGTCGTTGCAGGCGAGCTTTGATATTCTGGCGAAGAGGAAGGGTGAAGAGGAGGATGGGGAGAGTGAGGGGGAGGATCTTGAGAGTGGGGATGAGGATGGGTATGAGGATGGGTATGGGAAGGATGGAGAGAAGAGGAAGAGGACTCGGAAGAAGACGTCTATTGCGTGCAACTTTTGTCGCTCAAAGAAACTCAAGTGAGTTCTCCTTCTATCTGCAAAGCACGACGCTAATTTCCACTAGATGCAATGGCGTACGCCCAATCTGCTCTGTATGCGCCCGCCGAAACGAGGGAGACTGTGTTTTTGAGACCGCCCTGCGCCGACGCGGTCTTGCCAAAAGCCGCAAACCTGCTCGCTTCCGTATCCCTCCCCTCAGCATTGACACGCCTCTGCCCGACTTTGTGAGCGGGACGGACCTTTCCAGCGGGGTCTCTTCAGCGCGATATGACTTTTCTACGCCTACGCCGGCGGTGAAGGGGTTGAGGGAGGGCGAGCAGGGCTTTGGGGGGGCGAAGTGAGTCATGAGTAGGGGAGAGTGGGTGCTGGATCGGCATCGCTCAAGATTCTGATTCGAAGCGGTAAAGTCGGACCCCAATGGGGCGCGAGCGGGGGAATATCAACGGGCTGGTGTGAGCGCCCTTCATAATCTAATACTTCCTGATCTGTCATAATATATCTTTGTACTCTTCTGTAATAATTCTTCTTCTGTCTGTAGCCATTCTCATATGGTTGTGTTTCTTTCCGCTGCTGCTTGCGATAGTAATCATCACGTTGTTCTCGACATACATCATGTACACATTCCATCACTTCCCTAGAGAATCGTTCAATGCGCTCGGCGCGAAAGCATCATCACCAGTATGTACAAAGGTTGTAATCGTACAGCCAGATTGTGAATCCCGAGTACGCCTTCATGGAAAATAGAGTAGAAAGAAGATGTGGCATGACAAGGAAAAAAGTTGCTGAGCGGAGGAGGATGTGGAGTTCATGATGCCCATCTCGCTCAGCCGAATCCGACAGTCTTGCTTATATGATATCCGGGCTCGTATCGTCAATGACTTGCTAGCGTGCGCGTTGTACCACAATAATCTACTAGCTACACTGACTGTCATGGCGTACGGCCTACCCTTTTGTCATACGTCTTCTTCGCAAACTTTACAGCTGCGGGCTATCGGCACTGTCCCTTCGCCGTGGGGGCGCGAGTCTCCATGTCGCCATGTTGTAGGGTCGAAAAAGGATTGTGGGGCGTGAAAGTGAAGCAGAGCAGCCACACGCAGGTCGATATGGGGAGGAGCGAGATCGGTGGTGGAGAGATGACGACGATTGGTACTGATCAAACCCGAAGAAGATTATCTTCTTTTATTCTAGGGCCTTGCTCGCATACTCACCAAGTAGCGTACACTCAGGATAGGAAGCAAGCGGGAGTGTGAGGATCGGGGCTGAGGATGTTGGGATCGAGTACACACGAGAGGAAGAATAAGGCTTGATGATGATGTGGAGGAGGGAGCGCGGAGGAGACGATGAAGAAGTTCGGTGACTGCTTGTTCGTCAATAGAAAAGCGACGGTCGCCTGGGAGAGGGGTTGATGAACCTCTAGGGGATCGTCGTCGGTCCACGTTACCATCGCCCGAGTCCCTTCCAGCGCCCAGTAGCATCATGCTACACAGCGATGCCGCGAAAAGAGCGAAGAGCGATAATAGTCAGGCGTCAATGCAAGCTCTTGGACGTGACTGAGGGTAGAGAGCACCATCTCCTAAACAGTGATTGTCCTTGAGTCACAAAGAAGAGCGGATCGCTAATCAATAACAATGGCGAAAAAAGGTGCTGGTGGATCGTATCAATATTCAATGGGAAAAGAGGACGGTGGTGGCGCGATAGGATTATGCTTGAAGCACCAAAAGGGACATATGGTAGCCAAGACTAGCATCAGATGATTAGAGAAGGAGCCCATTGGTGGCAAGGAGTCAATGACGACCCACCTCGAGTCCACGCCGACCTCTTCTTCTCAAGCCGCGCCTTCTCGAGCTTTAGCTACTCTAGACCGGACCAGACCAAAGGTAGATGGCACTCTTTACCACAACCGGAGATTCTTCCGACCTATCTCACTGAGACCATGAGACGGAGACAGTTGCGGAATTGTGAAGTGGGGGTTGAGCAGCTGCCTTTGGAGTGTCGAATGCTCAGTGATAGTAGAAGGCAGTAGTGGCCGATGAATGAGGGCCAGCAACTTGTTTGTCCGAGACGCGAAGCTACATATACAAGTCAACGCTACGCTGGCTCTGGCAATTGATGAGCGAGGCGCAAGGATGGCTCCGAAGAATATCAGACGAGGCGACCACAACAACGACAGCAGACGAGTGACGACAAAAGGGGAGTTGCTAATTGAAAGTTGATTGCTACACTCGCTTGCGCGTGTCGCATGGTATACCCCAATCGTACGCGTCCATAGGCGCCTGCAGACCTCACAGCCCCCTGCTCCATTCCAGACCATTGGGCCAAGAAGTTACACAGGCCAGGGGTAGACAGATGATCGAGGGTGGCTTCCACTTCCGCCTCGGTCTTTTCTGCGCAAGAGAAATGTTAAAGGGTACGAAGGCTCGCCCGCCCCACCCCTATACAAACTTCAATATGCCATTCATCTATACGTACATACAGATCCAGTCGGGTTCCCGAGATCAACCCAGTTCCCTGCATGCGTACCTGCGCCGAACTACATCATGCAGATCATGCAGCGCTGCCCTAAGCCCTATCAGGGGCCTCAAGTACGCCAGACGGATTTCCAGCATGCCACATTAATGTAATATGAGCGCAATAATCAGTTAACGATAACGTTACCCCGGGTTTAACGCGGCCGGCGATGAGTGTGTTTTTTTTCTTCGTATCTCCTCGGTTCTACTCGGCCCCCCGACTATCCCTATGGTGCCGCATGCCACACTCAGATTTAGGCTGTTCCACGGTCTACCGAAAACGACCTCTGCTACATCAAGACAAGAGTGCTGGTAAGAGGCCTGAGCGGCTCCTCTTCTTCTGCTGTGACAGCGCATAGTCTACCCTGCACATGCACTACTATGGCAGCAACCTATGATTTGCGAGGCTATTGTGTATGGTAGATAGCGCAGCGCCTTTGTGTCACACTCACTGGCAATGCCGCCCTACGTAGAAGAGCTGTTGGGCTGTAATCTTGGGCCTGGCCTTAAGCCTCCTGGATATGACTGTGTGACAACCTTAGTCGAACGCTAATACCTGACTGGGGACTATGACAATCAGAAATCCTCCTTGAGAAAGGCTATCCGAATACCCACGTGCAATAGGCGTACCTTATGGCTCGCACAATATGGACATACCTGACCAGCAGAAGCAGTGAAGATATGAACATCTCGCAGATGTATGATAACGGTAGTAGGCAAAAGCGACAGAGGTGGACGCTTCTGCACTCAGATTCCGCCGAGCCAGAAGACATTCTATATCATGGAGTGCATATCTTGAAAAGATCAACTTCTTTTGATAATTTTGCTGGATTCCCGACCCATATCCTTTCGTAAAGACACACAAACAACCATAAATCATGAAGGAGATAGATATAGAGATGAGAAAAGCGAAAAAAGAAGAAAGAATCCGCCCCATTTGCTTTGATTAATGATACAATAATGTTTCAATTGAGTACGTCGTGTGAAAGCCCTAGCCGTGAAATGAGCATGAAAGAACAAGATCTATGAGAGGATGTTGGGGAAAAGCGGCGACCTCGTGGAGTAGTGTTGATCAATGAGAGTGTTGGCGCCAAGACTCGGCGGATGACGGGACCCCCGGTGACCCCCCGTGGAAGTTGACGGGTGAGTACCCAAGGCTGCCAGCGAAGGAATGCCCAGCCTAGCCTATCGATCAGCTCATTAGAACAAGTACTAATGGGTTTAAAGGAGATCAGAGCTTACCTCGCCTGAAGTGAAAAAGTTGTCGCCACCTGATGTAGTCTCGCCAGAACGGTAGTTGTTCATGTCGACGCCGGCGTTATAACCAGTTTGAGAGCGAGGCAGGGCGTGTGGTGGAGGGGCGTTGTGGGAGTAGTAGGATTCGTAGCGGGGAGCGACATAAGAGCGGTCGAGCTGGGCCACTCCGCTTCCTGGTGGAGCAGCCGTGGCAGTGGAGTTGGTTGAAGAGTTCCGCATGTCACCGAATGTCGACGAAGCAAGATACGGTGAAGCCGACGGAGCCTAAGAGGATAGATCAGCTTGCTGACTCAAAGGTCGAAGAGGACGGACGCGCACACGTACAGAAAGAGGACGTACAGAAGAAGACGACATGACGCGTGTGCGAGACGAGTCGCCAGAGTTGGTACGGAATCCGTCGACGCCGGGGAAAGTCGTGCTCGTAGGGGTGCCTTCGTTGTGGCCGCTGGTTGTGTGATGAGATACTGACGAGGGCTAGAGACGCCGTCAGTCGTTGCTTCGAGAACGAAAGGAGAAAACGTACAGTGGCGACTACTCTAGGATGATGACCATGGCTGCTCCCCTGCCTCAATGGCGGGCTAGCCCCAAGGTCGGCGGGGTTGCCAGCCTCGGGTGGCCCACCATAAGTCAGGCGGAGTGTGTACACTTGTCGTCTCAGATCCTGGTTCTCTTCGCGCAGGTATTGGTTCTCGGCGTTCAACTGCGCATACTCTGGGGAGTGAACGGTGATGGGAGCGCGCGGGTTGCTGGAACCAAAAGGCATCTGACCGAGTTGTCGACGCGCATCGTCCAGCTGGGAAGACAATATCTGGACAGACTCTTCCAACTATCAAGAAGCATCAGCAAACCTATCGAGAATGATTACAGCATTTAACTCACAGCTTTCGTACGAGCCTTTTGCTTCTCCCTGTGCCGCTTCTGAGCCTTGGCATTTCTGGTACGGCCGTCAAATTCGTCCATGCTGCCGTTGTTGTGGATTTTGTGGCTCTGGCTGCTGGTGAGGGCTTTGGAGGAGATGGTGGTAGTGGGCGACATGGAGAGAAGGGAAATGGGATAAGATGTGTTGGGGAACTAGATGTACGTGTTGACTGGTGGCGTTCAGGGGGGATGGGAAGAAATCGCCGGATACCGTATACCAGTTACGGGCGAGATGGGGACGCAACCGCGGCCGGCGGAATTGTGACGATGGCCTGGGGGTCGAAGGCAAAGTAGGCTAGGTGGGGTGCCTATGGCCTATGGGAGTGGTCCGTTGGAGACAGGCAGGGGAGGACGGAGAGAGTCGTGCAGGTCGAGATAGACTTGAGAGGGGGCGCACGCGTTTACGCAAGGTGAGGTAAAGATGTAGTAATGACCACTGTTTAATGGATGCGGTCAGCCCCTGCTCTAGATTGACGGCGCAAAAGGAAAGATGCGAACAACACATGTCCCGCAGGATTGAACAATATGGGATCAAATGAATGACATAGGCAGAGAAAAGAAAAGACAAGAGCGGAGGGAATAAAGAAAATGCGCATGACGAATGAGCAGACGGCTCGATCTCGGGTCGTCGGTGCCCCCAGCAGTTCGCGCCAGTAGTGAGACAGTTGGTATACCGCCAAGTACCACCGACGAAACTGGAGCGACTCATAGCAGCGGGTATGGTGAAAAAAATAATAATAAAAAAAGAGCGGCAAGAGACGCGCGACATGCTCGAGAAATCGCAGCATAAAGTCAAGGATCGACAAGCGCACTTACGATAGAATCTGATTCCCAGAGATGGAGATGCTGGTAGCAATGTACAGGTGGCTGGTGCTTGCGCAGGCAGCCAAAAGAGAGCTATGTATAGCTGGAATAGGGAGATGAAGAGGCGGCTGAAGAATGCCGGAGAGGTGTTGTGATAAAAAAAGGCAAACGTGAGAGGAGTTACAGCAAGTGGTTATGGGAGTTGGCCGAGATATACAGTAATGGTGAGCAGGCGGGGTGGGGCTGAGGTGGGTGGGTTTATATAACGTTGAGGATGTGCAGATGGATTATGTATATGACGGAATGCATAAGGTGGAAAAGGTGAAGCAGAGACCGGGACAAGCAGCGTCAGCAGAAGCGTGCGGCACGGCCCTGGACTTTTCTTGAGAGATCATCAACCCTGTTCTTTAATCACCCTAAAGTGATGTGCGCATTACATAATTTGCCGACAGCCGCCGAACGACCGCCGATCGACAGTTCACGTAACCCCAGTGACTACCACTTTATTGATCCCGTCCTCGCTCTACTCGCGAGCGGCCGTCTTCTGCCCCTTCTTTGGTTCTTCTCCGGCATCTGCTCTCCCTTCTCTATCCCCGGCCGGATGCGCCGGATGCATACTTCCATGTACAATCGAGTCGTAAGTCTATGCTGCACGATGACGGGCCACATCCACATTTCCGTCTGCCTCGTCTCTTCGGGCGATCACCCAGAGATCACAGACGATCCACCTTGATGTTAGCCCATCTCCCAAGAGGAGGAACTTCCGCATTTCATACCCATTCATAACCGCGGGAACGCAACTCTTCTTTACCATTCTTTTGCCCGTGTTTTCCAACCAATGGCGACATCAGCCCGTAACACCGAACAGGGCCGATATGGTGCACCACCGAGGAGACAGAGCGCCGAGAGGTTGGTCCCAGAGCTGCCCATATGGACAAACGTCTGGAAAGCCTTCATTAAAGAGTCTATATCAGCTACTAGCGCAGAATCCCTCCCTCTTCGCTTTACCGGTTCGCGGCTCGCGGCTCTGGGCCCCGTCGCATTGGACGACGTTATCTTATCCTTCTTATCAGCAGAGTGTATCAAGCAATACCAACTGGCTCGACATCTTGTATTTCATGCAAATGGTAGTACACTTGGGTGCGCGCGAAGATAGAATGGTTGCATGTGCATCGCCCAGCGTTCTAGAATAGAATTACAAGATGCGCCCGCAGGCTCTTCCTGTACACTGCGAAGCCCATACTTAACCGAGCAGAGCGAGGGCCCCCTACATACGAGATTCATAAAAAAGTGAATTAAACACCTGCCACCCTTGTTAGTACTCCTGCATATTCGCTGGAATGCGTTAACCATGACCACATGCGCCACATGGTTTGCAGAAACGCCACTTCTTTTCCCACTAGCTTCGATCCCTTCTTCCCCTCTTCGTGCCCCTCACTCGTGGAGCCCAAAAATGCGGGGGTGGGAAGAGGAAACTGTACTAGCCCCTCAGCAATGGCAGCCTCCCAGTCATTCCAGTGATTCCGGCTGTCAACGACTTGCAACACTTCTCGTAATATTTTACAAATGCATGGGGGACCCCAACATCCGTATATCCAGGCTCTCATGTAGTGCTCATCGATTGCTTTTAGATAACGATGACCCTTTCGTCAATGCCAGGCGCTCTGCCGAGCCTTTTTCTGTATGTATGCAAATCCCAGAAGCGCTCGGCAGACTCGGCAAGCACACTTCAGGCCAGAGGCAAAAAGACGTCGTCGTCCATACGTTCTCTAGATCCTGAAGATCAATTTCAACGTAATGTGTTTACGTGATTTACACGAGACATCCGGGGGGGATTGCTTCTCAGTATAATACAGATGTACATATGTTTGCGGGGCATTTTGAATGTCCCACTATTCCTACCTGAGTCTACTCTATAGGAAGTGTTACGGTAGGAATGAACGTGCTTGGGATTTGTGGATATCACATACGAGATGGGTGCGCCATGCGGCATGCGGCATTGCGGGCTATTTGTCGCGCTATGTCGATCATTCATGTCGTAAAGCTTCCCGGGTTTCTGGGTTTGGTGAGAAGGGCTCTCGGGAGGTTTGTCATATGGGAGTATGCAAGTGGGGTTGTACCCAGCGAGGCCAGCGATCCCAGCGATCCCAGCGATGAAGAAGAGGCGGGAAAGTGCACTTTTCCTTGTGTGTGGATGGTCCTTGCGTGGGTTGAGCTGCGATGTACTGCACTCGACGGGTACCCTCCGCGCTCCGTCCTGTGCATATTGTGCATACTGGAAGCATGCTTCACCATGACGCCGCTTGCCCGCCAGGCTTCTTTCTGATTTGACTCCTATGCGGGCAAATAGAACCCCCGGTTACACAGTCGACCCGCGTAACCGGTCCTCGAAAATCCCCGGTTAATCGCTCCCACCCAAACCGCTCAGCGGGATCAGAAACCACTGTTGCAGATCTTGTAATGCTCATCACAAAACTCTCTTGCTGGCGAGGCATGCGAGGCGCGGGTTCATTTACTCGTTCATTAATCGGTTGTTTCTGCGCACCCGCATCACATCCTTCGTGGTTTGTAGAGTCCCGGACTCCTGTCTTTGCTGTACAGATGAATGCTCGATCACACTCAAGCCCGGGAGGTTTCCCGGACGTATCGGCCTTTTTTTCGCGTGTTTCTCGTGTTTTGGCACAAAATACATACAAGTGTTCTTGGCCTTGGTCGGTAGGTTTTGAGACGAGACTAAAATAAAAGCAAATATTTGCTAGGATGCAGGATGTACAGGATGCGAGGGGATCTTACCTGAAACGCGAAGACGCGAGACGAGCTCACCGAGGGTCGAGAGCCCCCTGTCTACCGATCACCGACACCGAAACTTGCGCATGCCAAGCCACAAACAGCCCGTTTCTGCGGGTCATCAGAAAGTATGTATGGGAGGCCGGGGAGCTGGGGGCCCTGGGGGCGACAACCTGTGGAGGGACAACCTGTGGATGATCCTCACTTTCCTGTTCTAGTACCAAACTTTCCTTTCATTTACCGCTCTTAATGAACTCTGTCCTAGAGCATTAGCCGTACACCGCCCGGCCGCCGGTGACTGGTCTTTTTGTTTGTGTCAGGAATGAAAACGCGTCATAGATCAATTATCTAGGGCCGGCTGTTGCACCCGGGTAATAACTGTGTAAGTACGGAGTACGACGATGTAAGTTCAAAAGCCGGCGGGTTCGAATGTTTGTGTATGCGAGCAGCTCTAGAAGGCCAGACGTCGTGCGCTAAGGAAAATTCAAAAAACTTTTCGGCGTTGGTATGCGTTTGAGTGTCTACTTGGGGCTACTAGACTGCCAATAATATGGACCTAGATGCGAAGGACCAGCACTTGATCAGCCTCTGACGAGGGTCCTATAAGTATCTCTGGATGACTCCTACGCTCTTTACCGTTCTCGTTGCCACTTACTGTACCCGTTCTGTAGTACGCCAAAAGCATTTTCTGCCTGAGCCACTAGCGTCCGATAAAAGAGGAGAAAAATAAGATGAGACAAACAAAAGAAGCATATGCCGACGCAGACGCCGACGGCCTGCCGGGCTCGGCAGCCTCAGCTTTCGCCACATCCTGATCCTACCATCCTGCCATCGACCGGCTGGAATATTCCTTTGTTCGTACACATGGAGTCTCGATCGCTTTCATTCATGTTGCCAATCTCAAAGATTGCGTGCATGAAGGGCTCTGATAGCTTCTAGCGCTTTCAGAGCTGAGTAGTACCTCGATGCTCGGTACCCGGCAAACTCTTCCAACAGGATCTTGATCATAATACACCACAAGAGACGTATGGGCAAGCTCTCCGGCAGACGCTCGGCAAGGATTAGTACGCTGCACGCATTTGTCGATTGGCTTGGAATTTGTGATGCATGAGAGGTTGAATTAGACGATACATACGAGATCATCGTCCATACGAAGCGGATGGTTTTGCCTAAAGCAGTAGGAGGTGGTCAACGTTATTGCTACCATCGCTCACCAGTTCCATAGGAAAGCCCCGCTTGTACCATTCCAGAACTTATGACATTGAACTTACGCTGAGCAACCAATTCTGTGCATGGCAGCAATGCTGTGACGATTGCGAGACGATTATATACCCCTGTCTGAAAGCTCTAGTCTGAACCATATATCAGAAGAAAGCTCTGTTGAAGGAAAGAGAGAGAATACGCTTAGAGCAGTGTAATTTACTCGTACTGTAGTATTGAAGACGAATCATCATCATAATCCGTCATCAGTGGTGGAATCGAGTGAAACATCGTCAACATCATCATTATCAGTAGAGTTATTGAGGTATTTAGGGAGATCATTTCCGAAATTTCTCTTCCAGTCATGGATATCAACTAGCACTGTAATAACGGTCTCACATCGGTAGGTCACATGATCAAGTCTTACCAGTCGTCAAAGATGCGAGAAGATGATGTACGAGTCAGATCGGAAAAGGATACAGGAATCGTTGTAATACTCAATTTGAGTCCGGCTGCCATCTTACTGTTACAGTTAGTACTCAGGAGTATCCAGTGTGGCAGTAGGTGAAGTTTTCATCTAAGACACCACAAAGTCGCGAGTGGAACGGGCGTCAGATCGTCGCCATCAACGTCAATTCAGCGATCAACATTGATACGTGTCTGGCTCGTTTTGTTCTCGATTAACGATGTATTGCTGACCATATGCATCATTCTATTCAGCCCCCTACTTCTCTTCTACCGCCCGGACTTGCACATAAGACTCTTCCCGAATTGAGCAGGTTGTCGTCTCGTCTCGATCCGCATGCTCCGTCAAACGAGACTACTCTGATGACTGCTGATCCCCCGTCATGGCCCTATACCAGAGCTCACCGAACTGACCTGCAATCTCCGAATTCTCATCTAGCCCCTCGGAATGGCAGGATGTAAGTAATTCTCGATCAATTGACGCCATCATCTCGTCATCATCAAGCACGGCCCAATCTTCACTGTGCGCTTCCTCGGCATACGTGTCTTCGTGCACTTCAGTCTGGGCCTGGCTTTGTAGGTCGTCTTGCTCCTCGGCTCGGGTAAGTAATTCTTCCCTCTTCCTCTGTCTGCGTTTTGCGCCTCTATCTATGGCAAGTTAGTGACGTGCCGTCGACGTTCCATATTGTGCCACCGCGTATGATGGCGTGCTGTATCTTTCGAATCTCCACCAGTCCAAGCAACAAGGCTCATGACAGAAAGTACAATCTTCGAACAAGCTTACAGATGCTTCGAATTCTTTCTGCCTCCAATGGATCAGTCCTCTCCGATAAAGGTATATGTTTCTTGTTGTCGTTCCACGTGATGCGTGGTACATCTACGATTTCATACGCAACTCCATCGATTGGATCCGGATTTGCGGCGCTGAATGTGTAAAACTGTACGGTTCCGATTACGCATGGGCGGAGTTGATCAGTTAGGGGAGTCGATTATTTAGGGGAGGAAGCGAAAATCGACGTCGTTGTCGTTGCTGCCAGCGTCAGAATGGCTCTCCCACAGCGATGTTGGTGGGCACTTACGTCATCTCCGATGGCGCGGTAGCATAACCCCTTCTCGTCAATGCAAGAAATGTCATTGAGGGTGACTTTCCCGAAAGTCGCTGCGTGCCACTCATACAGCTCATTAAGTGTGTAGTCAGGAGGTTGCGAAGAGGAGGATGCCATCTCATCATCGCCCATCTCAGATTGAGCGGTTTCGGCTTGAGTCGGAGTTTGAGCTTCTGCTGCGGCCTTCTTTTTCTCTTTTTCCCTGAGGGCATGTCTACGATAAGCACCTGCGTCTATAGCAAGTCAGTAACGAGCAGCTCATACATACTGTCAGTCCGCCCCCCATGGAGTGTCCTGTGATCACCGCTGCACATCTTCGCCAATGAAAAGCCCAGAGTTGAACAAGATCTTAGAACAGGCCGGCTTACTGATACTTCGAACTCTTTGTTTCTCCAGGTCGTCACTCCTCTCTCCCAGAGTGAGAGGTTTTTTGGTGACGTCGTTGCGCCACTTGATGGGTGGTACCTTGACCTCCTCATATTCGACTCCTTCGATAGGATCTAACGATGCTCCGCTGAATCCTGTGAACTGTACCAGTACAGTTTTGATTGGAGACAGCATCGAGTGGAGGAGGGAATGAAGAGGATGATAACAACGACGTTGTTGTCAACATCAAATCGTCTTCTCCACGCCCATGTTGGCGAGCACTTACGTTTTCTCCGAGGGCGCGGTAGCAGCGCCCTTTCGTGTCGATGTAAGAAATGTCTTCTAGGGTGACTTTTCCTTGAGTTTGCTCGCCTTGTGTGCTCATTGTTGCTGTTGATTGTTGTCGAGATTCCAACGTCGCCCGTTATATTGCTTGTCTTGTGATAAGTAAAGAGAAGAAGGCTATAGTTCATTATCATGGCTGTACAATCAGGCTTTCCTTAAGAGGGCGTTCAAGAATAGCGCCATCAGTATTGTCACACGGGTCCATGACCTCTAGCGATGCCCTTGTAGTAGTCGAGGTGAGTCGAGATGGCTTGAGGACCATGAGAGGTAGCCAAGCCAATGCCGGAGGACATGGACGCTTGTGTCTGAAGAGACAACAATATTTGATCGACAGAGTATCTAAAAGCTATGAAAGAGTGTGGTATTTATATCCAGCCTCAAGCCTACGTATCCCTTTTCCATGACCTTCCAGTGTTTTCTACAGTGTCCAACAGAGCGGCAAAGATTATTCTAGATGCTTCGAGATATTTCTGGGTCGAGTGGCGACAGCCACGTGACAAGTATCAGCGGAGCCGCTCTTGAGTTCTTCCCTCTCTCCGACGGTGCTCAAACAAGACGTAAAGGATGCGATAAGGGAACACTTAACATGCATCGGGCTATCTCCAAACTCCTGCTTACCCCGTCACTTCCTTCGTGCAACATCATCTCATGTTCCATCTCAGATGTTGCGACGAGCGAAAATACTGAGAATCTCGTCATCTGTCGCGTATAGCGAAGACTGAAAATAGCAGCATGGTATCAATCATCACCTTGGACTCTGAATGGGCTCACGGCTTTTCCAACATACTGAGGCTAGCCCCGCCTGTTACATATGATGCATGCAAACCACTCTGGCGCTTACTATCATAAGCTATGACGTGAAATAGCCTTTCATATTCACGTTCAACAGCACAGGTATGTTCCAGCTGCTGTTTGGTATTTCTGTTGAAAGACAAAGAAGCGTATTCTTTCGCAGTGCTTAAGTTTCCTGGCGTGCTTATTGTGCATTTCATAATCATCGTATCGTAGATCAGACGCTATGAGAGTCGATGTAAACAAATAGCGCCGATGTCTATTCCAGCTGGTCTTCAAGGCAGAAGAAATGCATAGCATAGTTCACCACCCATCGCAGAAAATAGTATAACCTCATTTCACCTACTATACTACAATACTACCCTGACCGATCATGCTGCTGCATGCTTTGCCGAAGTATCTCCTCATATGTTCGATCGAAATCAGCAGACGGATCATGTGACTGGTTGTCATCGTTCAAAAAAATAGAGGGTTGAAAAGACATCGTGCCTTCATAATGATGATGAGGAGGGGGTTGCTGCTGGAAGCCTGTCCCGAATCCGAAATCAGAGGAAGGTTGGTGCAAGGTAGGATCACCACAGTACGGGTTATCGCCGTAGATCTGGTTGTCATCGTTCAAGGCAAAAGAGGGTTGAAAAGACACCGTGCCTCCATAATAATGAGGAGGAAGGGGCTGCTGCTGGAAGCCGGTCCCGAATCCGAAATCAAATGAAGGTGGGTGTAAGGTAGAATCATCATAGTACGGGATATCGCCGGAGATCATTCCGCCGTCATACGACGAACTCGGATTGGAGGGCGTATCGTCCTCAGTTGGTGGCGGTACAGAAACTCCAGAGGCATCGCTCGCGCCCTCGGGGTACTCGACTTGACTTTGTTGACTGGAGTTCGACGCGCGTTGCTTTTGCATACGCTTGGCTAATCGCGATCTGGCTTTACGAGTATTGCCTATAGGTGTTCGATTGGCTTCAGTGCCGTACAACTTCCAGGAGTGTTTTGTATCTCGGGAGTGAAGCAAAGCTGGGTGAACTTACTTCTAGCTCGATTTCTAGCTTTATCAAGCTCACTCCTTTCGGATACTGGAATCTGCCGTCCCCCACTGCCAGCTTTTCGCCACTGGAATTCTGGTAATGGTATCTTCTCATACTCGACGCCTTCTGCTGGATGACGTATAGGTCTGTCTACTTCAGTCTGTGCGTCCCAAACGCGTGCGTGAGAGCAGGAAATCAGTACAGTATCATGTCAGCTCTATAATGCAAGTCATGTCGAGTACATACACTCTGTTCTCCAGCAACGCGGAAGCACGACCCCTCCTCGTCGATGTACGCGACGGAAGCAAGTGTGACTTCTTCTTCTTGGACAGTATCCTTTTGGGCGGATTTTCCTTTTGCGCTCATTGTATACTCGAATGACCTGGGGGGAAAGAGGTTCTGGGGTGTAAGAAGACGTTGAGCAGGATTTATACATCAGTACTATGATGTCTCCGCCGGCCTATGATTCTGTGTTCCAAATATGGGCATTCCTTGATGAACAGAGACTTTCAGCTCGGGGTGTGCGGCCTACGAATATGGGATTGGTGAAGTGATCCATTATACAATGGCCGCAGTAGCGTCGTGCCAGTCATCACTATTTTGATGCGTTCCAAATACTGACCTCTGACCGGCGGAGTTTCAACATGCGATAAAGAATGTGCGAGCTCTTTAAAGTGCAGGATAATTACGAGTCCTTGTCGGTTGTATGATTGTATTGAAAGGAGATTATACATAGACTACCTTGTGAGAGTGCCGATCCATATGCAGGCCAGGTCCTCGCACTCGTGGTGCTAATGGAGACCTCTACATACATGGATATCGGGGCCGTATGTAGCGGACCAGCACATTTACTATCAGCAATTGTAAAGGCTCCGCACGCCTCCCGTGTGTGGCGTCACACACCACACAACACACCCTTCGATCCCTGAATTGACAATTCAATTTCCGGCCAGAGTCCGGTGTCCAGCTTTCGGTCAAGAGCTTTGCCAGGGTTTTCTACAAGGTCGTTCTCTTGGGCTCCTGATAGTCTACACAGCAAGCTATGCACAAACATGTGATGCATATGGCTTAGTGACGCTGAAGCAACGCGGCAATAACATACTTGGCTCTGTAACAATGGTATTGCATGTTCTCGTCTTTCCTAATGGGTCGAGCCGAGATCTCTCCAGTGGATTCTATGCTTATGAACGGACAATGCGAAGCCATGAGGCATCGTCGTTATGGACAGTACAGCGACAAGACCGACTAAAAACTGTCACGCCGCCCGCTCGCCCCATCGGCCTCGGCCCTCGCGCCCAAGTATCCAAGGACCCTTTCTATCCTTTCCACAGCCCCGAGATAGATATCAAGACATACCTCCCTGCCATGCAGTGCACTCATTCTCCTTCATTGAGCAGCTTTTCCACACACCCAAGGCCCCCAAGGACTTCGGCATCGGCCACCTAGCCTTGTAAAGGCACGCTCTGGGCTGAGATGAGCAGGCACCATCGCTATCTTCGGCGGTGTCGAGCAGCTGCGTTTCAGATACAAATCACGGGCATGTTTTTGCAGAGTGGCTATTGCAAAGGCATCATCGCAATCCTTTTTACCCTAAACCGGAAAATTCGGCAACGGGCGATGGCCTGGTATATATAGTAGGGGCCTGCGAGTCTTACGGTAGCAGAAAGAACTCCTGTATACTACCCAGTCACTCGCTCATTGTACCAAGCACACCCCATTGTCGAATCGAAACTCATTCATCTCTCCCTCATTCCTATCCGACTCTCATCCAATGGCCTTCAACAGCTCCTACAACACCAGCGTCTCCTCCGATCTCACCAAAGACTCGACCTTCAAAAGCCACAATGACATGAACGACTCTCATCACTCGAATGAGTATCTGTACCAAGTAAGGAGCTCGGTAGAGCCACTACAGATGGACGAGAAAGGGGAGGAGGAGACACATCGGCTAGCGAGTCTGAGCGACAAGAGAAAAGCGGCCTTACTGGGGCTATTTGCGTTGGCCAACTTTATCGATCTGGCCAATTCTACTGGTGTAGCGGTCGCTGCAGAGGAAATTGCAAAGGATACGGGGCTAAGCACGTCTCAGGTAGTCTGGGTAAGTGGCTGCTACCTCTCGTCTCGACTGGAGTTGAACTAACAACTATCCTCAGACTATCACATCTTACTCTCTCACATTCGCATCGTCCCTGCTATTTGCCGGTCGACTCTCAGACCTTTACCCGGCCGAATACGTCTTTGAAGGTGGTTTCCTAGCCTTGGGAGTGTTGAGTCTCGTCACTTCTTTTGTCACGCACAGCAAGTGAGCACATGATACACCTACACGTGGGAAGATCGCTGACACGGTGAAAAGGTATGCCTTTCTGGTCATGCGAGGACTCGGTGGTATGGCAGGAGCTATGAGTAAATCCCTTTGGCCACGTCTCCCAACCTCGGCTGATACCATTCTTCAGCGCGACCTTCAAGCTAGTATGTCTCTGCCCTTCTGCTCTGATAGCGTTTTGTGACACCCCGCAGCCACCTTGTCGTCCACATGTACCCCAACCTCACCGAACAAGCTCCCAAGCTCGCCATCCTTAGTATCGCTGGCGGTGTCGGTAACGTCATCGGCTTGTACGTCTCCGCTCCTTAATTCGAACTTTGCTGACGTTAGCATAGCATTCTAGCTGGGCTGTGTATGCTCGCGTCATACGAATGGTTCTTCCGCCTCATCGCCATCCTCTGCCTCTGCTCCACCGCCCTATCCATCTACTTTCTTCCCCACACCTGGCCTTTGAGTTCTGCTCGCCACCCTCGGTCGCATGAGGACAGCATCCCCAATTGGCGCAGGATGGATATGCCAGGGGTGGTGATGATGATGGGTTTCTTGGTCTGTCTGATCTTGAGTCTGACGCAGGGGCCGATCGACGGATGGGGAGCTGCGAGCTTTGTGGCGCCGTTCATTATTAGCTGGCCTTTGATCATCGGGTTCTTTGTCTGGGGTGAGTTCATACCTTCCCATTTTTAGAGTGATGAACTGACGGCCCACAACCTATGGCAGAGTCCAAAATTCAGGCCAACACTGCCCTCCTCCCCAACACAGTCTGGATGATCACAAACGCCATCATCGCTTCCCTTGCAACGCTCATCCCCATGGGCTTCTACGGCACTTCGCAGCTCTTGTTCGCCAACTACTGGCAAATCGCTTTCAATTGGAAACCTTGTTAGTCTTTCATATCGT